GGTATTGAACTCTTGACCCGAACCGCGCGCAAGAGGAAGAGAATGATAATAACAATTGCAAAAAGGACAAAGATATTTGAAAAACGTAAGTAATCTATATCTGATCGATATATTGTGTTCGAATTCGCCAGATGGATCCAACAATTTGCATATGAGTTTTGACAAGATTGCATCCAACACATACGCTATGGAATGAACTCCACAAGGTAGTGAAATGTTGTGCTTTTGTGCTTCACATCATTCTTATCTTGTGCTCCACATTATTCTTAAGTAAAACCACTCCAGACTTCAAAGTTTGCACTTCCGAAGGGAATCCTTGTATGGGCTTCCTACTGTCAGGCTATATTTCAATACATGAATGCATCCATTAAGAGGATTAAAGGTATTATAGATCTGCTCTTATTTTTAATCGTGAGCTTTAGGGGAGTTGCAAGATACAGACTCCATTTCAAAATGAGACGACACTGTTTCGAGACTCGGCTGGGACAACTCGGACTTGTCTGAGTAACTCAATCTCGCCATATGGATATGGCAAGCACCCTGAGTACTCAATACACACGTTATTAATATGTTACATACAATAAGACACCAATTTTTAACATGAACATTCAAGTAATTTATTGGTTTGTGTGTTTCTTATGCTCTATGATGATGATGGTTCAAATTCCAGTCATCCACCAAGTTAGTCGTCCACCTTCTTTTCCGTAAACCTTTTTGTTTTTTTTAAAGAAGAAGGTGAGTTCAAAAGATTATTGAGGATTTGAACTTAAAACTTAAACTTCTCACAAAGGGGCATTCTTAACCAACACACCACCAGAATTTATTTGTAAAGAAAAGTATATGTCCATCACTATACTACCTTGTTTAAAAAAAATAGAAAACAAAAATTGAAAATGAGCAGGTTGAGGATTGAAATCCAAATCATTCTGCATCGAGGAATCCTGAAGGTGGCGAATATTATCATCATGTCATTTAACGCTCAATGTTATAAAAGCGAAGGCTATAATATATATAAATTACTTTTTTTATTTTATTTTTTATTTTTTTTATAATTGATTAGTACTCAGATGAGTTATTTAAGCGGCCACCGGACAAGAGTCGAGTACCTTGACTGAGTCGATTTTTTAAACACTGAGAGAATATCATTTCATTTGAAAGAAACCGACCTCACGAATTGATACTAACAGAGATATTGGGAAATAAGGTTGACTTACCCTGTCGGCAAGACCTTGACCGCAAATCCAGGAGAACATTTGGTAACATCTGTATACGAGAAAGAAATCTAAATACAAAACACTACATCTAATACAAATATACAATAATTAAATAAATATAAAAGACGTTATATTATATATTATTTTATGTTTTAATTAATATATATATATATATTTGTATTATTAATATTTACATTTATTATATTATCATATAATATATATTTGATTTATATAATATATATTTGTATTATTATTATTATTGTTGTTGTTCATGTTATCATCATCATCATCATCATCATTATGATTATTGTTATTGTTATTGTTATTGTTATTGTTATTGTTATTGTTATTATTATTATTATTACTATTTCTATTTTATTTTTTATTTTTTTATTTTTTTTATTTTTTTATCTTTTTTATTTTTATTTTTTTTATTTTTTTTATCTTTTTTATTTTTATTTTCTTTATTATTTATATTTTTATTTATTATTATTATTATTATTATTATTATATATGTTATTTTTGTAATAGATATTTACAACACAATATTTTATTATATAATATACTATATTTATGCAATTGATATTTACAATACAATATTTTATTATATAATATTTATATACAACATATTTAAATAATATTTACTATGTAATACTCTAATAATTTTGAAATAGTATAATTTTTTATTATATTATAATAATATATACCTATGTAATATCGTATATTTATATAATATATATTTTATTATATAATACATATTATTATAATATACGATGTATTTTATTATACAATAGCCAGTGGCCCTATAGCTTCACATGAGCCCAACGACCTAGATTCAATCTGGGCCAATCTAACATACAGAACCTCATTTTGTATTTGAATTTTAATATTTTTTTACAAATCCAAATCATGTGAAATTCTAGGTGGCTATTTTTCTCATCAAGACACCTAATAAAAATATTAAAAAAATAATTCGTAAGATGTAAATTGATCAAAATACCCTTGAAAAGTTTTAGGGGTATTTTGATCAATTTATTGCTCAAGAAATATTTTTTTATATTTTTATTGGATTCTCCTATATTTGAAGAACACACGCCAAAATTTCAAGTGATTTGGATTTATAGAAAAAACTAAAATTTAAATACGAAATGCAATCGTGATCATTAGATCGGCTCAAATTGAATATGGGTCTTTACACTCATATGTAGTTGTAGGCTCACTAGCCTATGCAAGCATTTCCCTATATAATATATTTTATTATATAATATACGATGTATTTTATTATACAATGTATCTTATTTACGTAGTGGATATTTATGATTCCATATATATTGTGTAGTATTTTATATTTAATATAAAATAACATTTAATAGTTCTAATAAATAATATTTAAATTTATATATATTTTATTATAATATGTATTTATATTTAATATAAAAATAATATTTAAAAATTTTAATAGACAATATTTAAATAATATTTAAATAAATACAACTATATATTTTTAGTTATAATATGTGAAAGTCAAGCTTTCTATGTTTACTCTACAGCATAAAAGTTAAATACTCTATGTATTTTTAGTTATAATATGTGAAGGTCAAGCTTTCTATGTTTACTCTACAACATAAAAGTTATTTTGAATGGACAGTTAAGATGCCCCCAATCACAATGTCAATCTCTACCCTATTTTATTTTTAATTTTTTTCTATAAAATATTGTTACACCAAATTTCAGGTGTCCAATCCTCTATTAAACTCACACATGTGAAAAATATAAAAAACAATATTCACAATAAAATAAAATGATCAAAATATCTCTGAAAGTTTCAAGAGGTAGTTGGGTCATTATATTTTATAGAAAAATTATTTTTAATATTTTTTGTAGGTGTGCCCCAATGAGATGATGGCACATACCAAATTTCATATTTATAAAAAATTATAAAAAAATAAAAATAAAATATCCTGAGATGTCGGATCTAAGATCAAACAGTGAGTGGCTCACTTGAACAAAATTGGATAGTTAGATGGCAGGGGAAACATAAATCTTCTATGTCGTAGAGGAAATATAAAAAGCTTTCTCATATGTAAAAATTGCATTTATAGAGATTTGCTCGTAAAAGCCAACTTTGCCTTTTGGGATGGGAAGTGAAACAACGGTGGAAGCAGACATTTCGAAATGATAACATAGAATGATGGGACTCGGTCATCCCGGACTGTGTTCCAGGAAAAGTGGCATACTTGAAAGAAGAAAGGGTGGGCACTCGAAGCTCATCCTCTTTATGAGAAATGATCTCCTTATGTAATTCATTACACAATACTTTTAAGTAGTTGAATCATAAGAATCGAACTTGAGGTGTAGTGTTGCTGAAGTGAGCTGCTAACCAATCACGTCCAATTCCTAAAAAACGAACTCAGTTCGGGTAACCGCATGAAATTTATTGCCACCTTGCAATACATATTCTTGAGAAAGGGGTTTTTCTCTTAAATGCAAAAACCAAAAAAGTTCCGATAGGGATATCCTTTTCAAATAGTGTCAAGAAATGTGGTTTTAATGTTAGAAATCTTTGTGACCGCCTTGAATATATTTTCATCTATATTTATAAAGTTTAAAGCTTCAAAAATAGTGTGAATCGACAAATCTATGAAAACTTGAAAATCTTTAAAATGGATAGTCCAAAAATACATTACAAAATATACTATTTCCAAAACTTGAAATTCATTTTTTTCTCATGATCATACTTCTTGACGTCGAGATGATCAATTTAAAGATATTTGGACATCAAAACCACCTCTTTTAGTGAAATTTTTGTAGTAGGCTTCAATTTGATTGCCCTATATATAAATATATTCTCGATATGTATATTGAGAATTTAAAACTGTCTTGCTAAAGATAGAGTGCCATTGGAAGATCTTTTTGTTGTTATTTATATTGTAATGAAACCTTTATGATATGAATGGTGAATCTTTCTCAAAAAAAAAAAAAAAAGACCCTGGCGATAAATTCTTGGCATCATCACCTGGATATAAAGATTACCTAGAGGCACACACAAAAAGACGCATTTTTTATGATAGAAGGACTAAGGAAAACAGTTGGTGGTCAGAACTCTTGGCTTAAAATGGTATCAGGGATAAAAACCGCAACCCATCCAAAGGAAATTTTTATTTGTTGAGTAAAAAAGTTTTTGCCTCATCATAGAGAGGTCTGAAGCCTCTTTTCAAGTATTTATCATTATCAATGTTGAGCAATATAGCTCTCGGTATACCAGGATCACCATGAGTATTGATGGGAGTAAGGGGCCTGCCTCAGGTGACCAACACAGCACAACACCACCAAGGGAGCTACAGCCCCATCTCTCTCTCTCT